AACGGATTTTTTTTTTTAACAGGAAAATCTTTTTTGCTTTTTGTAGTTTAATCAAAAAATACTATTTAATTCAAAATACCATGCAAATTCTACTTCAATATATTTACTTAATATATAATAATTTAAGAAGAAAACCTTAGTTAATGAAGTTAATTGCTCCACATGTACCCTACTGGAAATTTGAATCTTTACTCAATGGTGGTGTTTATTTTATTTTTCTGAACAATCAAGCAGATTGCTTTCCTTAGAATTACATGTTTGAAATAGAGCAATAATGGGTGAGATCACTAGCATCCAAAGAATAATTTTATTTGCCTTTAAATGAGTCTTTTCACCTTTCTTACATAGTGATCTCAAAAAGAAAAGCACTTTGCTAAACAAGGCTATATCAAGACAGTAGACTTAGGTTATATTTTTAAAGGATTATTTTTTTTCCTTAGTTAGAAGGTAACTCATTTAAAATAAGTAATGACAATTTTATGTCACAGAATAGACATTAAGACCCCTATTTGAGTCCAGTCTTTGAGCTTGCAATGTGCTCACGTAATATGTGAGCTATTAGAAGAACTGTTTGTCATTTTTCCCTCCACATGAAAGAAAACATGTCCTTATTTTACTTTTGCTTCAGTTTTAAGGTGTATCATGCTCTTCAGCAAGCTATCGAACAAAGTCGTGACTCCATCATATTGATCTTTTTTCATGATATTGAAGATTACAAGTTGTATCATGCACTTCGCCTGAGAAGAGGAATGTTCAGATCTCGCTGCATCTTGAACTGGCCAGCCCAGAAAGAACGAGTCGGTGCATTTAATCAGAAATTAGTGATGGCACTTAAATCTAATAGTAAAGTGCACTGAATTTTGACAATACAGATTTGAATTATGGGGTCATGTTATTGCATATTTTCTATCCTTGGAAAATTAATAAGCCTTCAAGAAGACCTGAAAAAGTTTGTCATGCTGGAAAGATATGTATGAGTCACTATAATTTAAATTTACGTGTCTATAGTCACATTTTTGTTGATATTTTAATTGACCTGCACTGAAGTGACATCATGATTGATTGTCATTTCAGCCTGTGCATCAACAGTGTGATGCAAATTCTGAAAAGCAGTGAGAGTGGCTGAAGTTCTAGGAAAAATGCCCACCAATGAAGAGTAGCAAAGTCATAGACTCTCTACTTTAAAGAGATATGCAAAACACAACACAATGATAAAACAGCAAGTTCTGTGTAGAAGGTAGGTGGACACTGCTGCTTGCTTTCATAAAACAAGGGGAGATTCAGTAAAATTAAAATCTGAAAGCATTCCTTCTGAAGCACAGTGAGTAACATGGACAAGCAGAGTTTCAAAGTGAGTTTAAAGCTTTTGTTTTAAGAGAAAGCCACGTGATTCTGTGAGCAGCCTGGTCAGAACATGCATGAAAGATTGTTTATGCTTTCTGGGTGTGGCTGGTACTGGTGACAATCAAAAGCAAATTTTCTGACTAATGAGTTAACTGATTTAATCAATGTGGTACTATTAAAAAAAAATTTACTCTTCCCTACTGAATTTCAGAGAGCTCGCAGAAAGACATTCATACTGAGAGATGTCACCTTAATTCTTTGAATGCATGTGAAATTATATGGAGGCCTTTAAACAGAACTTGAAATCAGTGTGAAACATGGCTAAGGGCACAGCTGTATAAACTGAATAAAGGCACTGGTATTTCTGTAGTATAACTAGAAGACAACTATGTGGAGAAGGTGGTGCTACTGTGATTTCATTACCAAAAACTTTGTTACTGGTGAACCCTCCCTCCCTGCAAAAGAGTTTTAAACCTGATCAGGAATATGATTGTGACTACAGGTAGAGTAGCAGATAAACTTCAAAAGCAGATTAATTTCAAAATTTTTGTTTCCTTTTTCTTTATGATTGTGTATGGTTTTGCCCTTGATAGCTAAAAAGAAAACTGTAAAGAAATCAGAATTCTGTTGTTTAATTTCTTATATTGTAATCTAGTTTGTTTTTTCCTTAACATACTTTACAAAAACATGGGCTAGTTGGCAATTGCCAAAGCATTAAGGTTCAAGCACATGGGGTAGTATCTTCATTTGGAGAGAGCTGAGCACCAGCCAAGTGTGCTCTGAAAGGATGCTTCTGATGTTCGAGACTTGTTGTAATTTTATGGAGTATTGAGCACAATTTATTGTAAATTAGACACTAGACAGTCATTTGTGTGTTTTTGTTAATATGTAATTGCTGCTCCAAGGACCTTATAAAACACTTAGTAAGTGTGTGATTCTTCAGTATCTCAGTAAGGTATTTAAATTGCCTTTTGCTCCCCTAGCATTTCCCTCATCAGTTTCAATACCATCATTGTTCTAAGAATGCTGTTTTACTTTTTTAGAAAACAGCTTTTGGACAGTTCAATACTTACCATTGTGAGCAGCTTTTCTCATTATTTGTTATATGCATAGATGAAAAACCTTGGGTTTTAATAGGTTTGTATGTCCCACAATGATAAAAAATGTAAATGAGAATAATAATTAAATAGATTTTGCAAACACCAGAAGAATGAAGGGTGTATAGACTTGTCTTCACTTGCTGGGTAAGTCCTGAGTGAAAACAGAAAAGGCTTTGTTTACAGTTGAAGTGATAGGTGATGATTCCCTAATTACAGTAATAGGATTATCTCTATTGTGATGCTTTCATCTCATCTTTCTGACCTTTTCAGAGGAAGTGACAAATTCTTTCTTCATGTTCAGCCCATGAAAGGTGAGGAGGCAAGTTGGTAAGGTTGTTGTGCCAGGTATGCACTATGTCAGGCGTTCTTCCTCTTATTTAAAGACTAATGTGTGAACAGGTTCCTATGTTTCTTAAATCTGTAATGACATATAGTAGCAAAATTTCTCATTCCACATCAATATAAATTGTTTAGAAAATGTTAGCCATTCACATGGGTATTAAAAAATATACAAAGATGCAGAGGAAGTATGGAAAAATGCTGAGGTCAAATGTGATACAAGGGGACAGACTAGATGATCAAATAGTCTTTTATGGCCCATAACACCTGACAAATGACAGCTTGGCTGAATTCTATAAAGATTTGTCTTGTAACAACAAATGCCTCCAAATAGGACTTCAGAACAGTGAAAAAAACCTATGTTATAAATGCTTAGTTTTATAATATGGCTAAGAATACAAATGAAGAGTGCTTGCTGGTGAGTGAAAATCATTTGATGATGCATTCTAGGCAGTTGTTTTAATACCTACATTCAGTTTAAAATATTTTACAACAGAAAAATAACCCCTCAACATTATAAAAGCTCAAAATGGGGATTAGACTAATGTTGGGTTTTTTGTTGTTGTTGTTGTTTTTAAAGGCAAAAGGAATAAACAGGGCCAATGGGAATCGTCAATTATACTTGACATAGAATTTTCATAGAATTTTTCCCTGTTTGTCTGAAAGTTACCTATTTCTGCTCTACTCCTGTATATTTGTCTGACAGTAATATTGAGAGTAAATAAATGGGCTTACCATGGTGAAGAATTGTAAATGCTTTCAAGATTAACAAACTATATCTTAGCTGGGTATTTTCATTGCAGCAGGTAGCATCCGACTATATTATGCTGTTTTGCTGAGGAGTTGGATACCAAATGAATGAAAAATGGTTCCAAACTTGTAGTGTTAGAGAGATTACCTAGAACTAAAGAGGAATCATCTGTACTGAAAACAGAATATCTAAAGCACTTGAGCGAGGCAGAATGCTCAAGTCTGTAGATCTGGGGTAGAACCTGACTAGTTCTGTGGTTCTTGAACAGTGGGGAATAATGAACAAGTTGCAGAGTGATGATCATAATAGGTTCTCTTCCAGGTCTTCACACAGGGTTGCTTCAGGGCTGCAGCTGAAATAAATACACTACACCAACACGCTCAATTATGCTGCTTTCACTGTGGCTCAGTCAAGGCTTTTTGGTACGGTGAGGAATAAATGCAGGTTGTGCTGCTGTTAGGTTTATGTGGACCTATCCCATAAGGTTTGTTCAGAACTTATTTACTTCAGTTTGTAACACAAAAAGTCCAAATATGTCCCAGTTTCAAATCTCAGTCCCCTGCTTGATGTCATGTGTGCTCTGCTCTGCCGGCTCATCGCACAACTTGATGTGCTAAGAAGACAAGGCAGGGATAGAATTCCCAGCTTTATACCCTTGGTTGTTGTCTGCCAGCAGCTGACAGATTTAAGCTGATAATGCAGCTGTTTGCTTCATGTATGTTCCTGGGCTTGTACATATAAAGTGACAGTGCTATTCTTCAACTTTTGCTGCTCTTTCAGATCCTGCCAAGGGCCACGCTACCTGTCATATTCTGAGCTGACACATATCCCCTATCCATAATACCAGCCATTAGTGTCCCCAGACTCCTGCTGATGTGATCAAGCTTCTCTCTATCCATCCAGAAATCCTGTGCAAAGCTAGGAGAGTGTTTGACTCGGCCCTGACTAGTGTGCCTCCAGTGGTCTGGTTTGTGCCAGTGGTGCTGGTACGTGTACCGAAAGAGTGAAAGGGCTTTGGTCCTGACACCCTCTCCTGCTCTCCAAGCTGCCTGGGATTGTCATTGTTATCTTTTTGTCCATGGGCTGCTGTCCCTCCGCAGCTTCCTTCTGCAGCTGCCTAACATGGTGTGGAGAGGTGTGCTGGATTGGGTCCATCTGGGTTCCTATTTGTCTTAAACTCTTTCTGCACACAAATGCATGAAGGCTGTGAAGCAGGGCCCTGTGGCCCCTGCAGATGGAGTTTTTTTCTGCCCCTTAGTCTCAGGTAGCGTGTTAAAAAAAGTGAAAACGCCACACTTCATTTCGTTCGCTAACAGGTTTCTGCCCCGCGCTTCCACGCGGCTCTGCTCACAGGGCTGGCCTGCGCGGTGCACCGAGGGCGGTGCGTGCCTCGGCGGGGTTTGTTTAGCCTAGCAACGCCCGCCTGCGCCCGCCCCGCCCGGGCCTGCTGCTGCGGGAAGGGGCTACCGCCCGCCAGGGCCATGAAGGTGGCGGCGCTGGAGCTGGGCGCCCTGCTCGCCAAGATGAGCCGCTCCCCGGCCACGCCGGGCCGCGGCCCGCGACACCTGTCCGGCGGCTGCGGTCCGGGCATGGCAGTGCCGTCGGGGGGAGAGGGCGGTCGCCCACCGCGCTCTGCCCCTGCCGCGGCGGACAAGGAGCCCGGGGGCCGGGCGGGCGCCAAGGCCCTGCTCGTCACCCTGCCCGATATCGGGGAGGAGGCGGTGATGGATGAAGAGAGTGACGGCCGGGAGACAGCCGGCAGCCCGCAGCGCCCTGCGTGAGTGCGATCCTGAAACATGGGGGGTGGTGGTGACTGTGTGTGCGCGCCCCCATCCCCTGGGGTTTCACTCAGCCTTTTCTGCCTCTGCTTGTCCTGAGAGGTACTGAACATCTCCCTGTGCTGGAGCTTCCTTCCCTCAGGGATATGGTGAAGCTAGGAAGGCGCACCTCCCAAGAGCAAAGTGATGGATTGCACGGGAGTTGTTTTCGGTGCCTGCAAGAAGCAAAGAGATGGAATGTGCTCAGTGTCGCGTTTGGAAGGCGGGCGGCTGTATGCTGGGGGGATGGAGCTCAGAGTCCGGTCCCGAGGGGCGCAGGGCCTCGGGCTTGCAGGGGGAGCGCAGCGGGTGCCGAGCTTCTGTAGGACCGATAAAGTTACCTAAAACGAGTGTAGGAGTTGTAGCAAAGCCTGTTCCGGGGTTGCAGCTGTGCATCAAGGCAAACATTTCAGTCACTGCCTTGTAAAATAACGGGTGTGAATCTTCGGATGCCTCTCTTTATTCTTCAAGCTCCACCTTGGAAACGTTTAGGTTTTGATGAAGATAGAAGAAGCGTGGTAAGTATGGGTGCTGTAGGATTCAGTTGATATTTTGTTAAAGCAAAGGTATAGTGAAGCAGAAAGTGGCTTCTTAAAGCAGAATAGCTTATTAAAGTGAGCTAATATCTGTATTATTGTATTGGTGGGGTGAAATAAGGTTACCATACATGAATATCTAGTTGCTGCCTCTAGAACTGAACAATTCTTGTCTTTGATATTGTTGATAATCAGAAAAACATTAATTCTGCCAGGTATTGGTAGGAATGAATATATTTTGTGAATTTAGGTTTTTTAAATCGTCAGGACTGAAATCTCTTTAGTGACACTGTTAAACTCTCAGATGGATTTTATAATCTTTTCTTTTAGTTTGTTCCGTGTAGCATAATATTTACATGATATGATATGAAAGTCAGTCTCTTGCTCTTCCCTGTCAGGGAAACTGTGCTTATTTCCCAGCATCCATGTAATTCTAAGTTAGAAGGCAATGTAGAAGATATGTTGGAAGGTATGTTAGAAGGCAAGCACCTATTTAGTCCTTTTAGAATCAGCTTATGAGCCTAATGTCTGTGAATGTGTCTGATCTGTTTTTGAATGTGCTAGTAGTGTTTGCTTCTGTAAGCTTGAGAAGCGACAGTGTCTTGAAAGTCACTGCCTGCTCTCTTTTGGAGAAAAAAAGAATGCTTTTATGCTTGTTTAAACTGAGCTACTGTTTTTAAGGGGTACTTTTCAGTTCTGTCTTGGAATCCTTCCTGATGTGGTAGAGTGTTTTATCGGTAGCTTTGGTTGTATATTAAATCCATGATCACTACTCCAGGGTTGTGTTCTGGACTGTAACTACTGGTCACAATGTCAACATCACGTAAAGGTGCTTTTGATAGTTTTGTGAGTGTTTTTTCTGAGATAACTATTGACAATACATATTTGTAAATGCATACTTATACCTAACATAAATTTATTTTAGCAAATAGTAAATTAATTGAAATATTATAATTGCTAGATAACTTAGATATGTAAAACTGTGAAAATAATATGAGTAGGAACACAAACCCTCACTGATGTACTTCTTTTATTTACCCCTACTCCCATCTAATGTCTTTGGTTTTGTTTCAGAAGAAATTTTGAGCTCCTTCAGGCTTAAACGTCTTAGACTTTCTTGCATTTTTGTAGAGAGGCCTTGCTGGAATAGGGAGGTTAATCTGATTTGGAGTGTATTGAGAGAATTCTATTTAGAATGTGTTTGATGCTTTATACAAACAATACTAGAACTGAATTAGTGTCATTTGCCTATAATTTCCCACTAGTTGTTTCTTTTATTAGTACAAAAAATAAAGCCCAGTACAATGCTGTATGAGCTGGTACTGCTGTTGAAGTGCTGAGGACTTTTTCATTTAAAAAAAAAAATAAATTAAGTTCACTATTAGGACAAAATAACTGATTTTATTAAGAAGAAACTATATATATTAAAAATGGTTGTGTGCAGCAAAATGCTTATTTTGCCTTGCTATTAAAACACTTGTAACTGCTATCCCCTAATTATCCTTTAATTGTTACACTTTCGTATGCATGGTGGCATTTCAAATATTTTATTCATAGCACTTGAGCTTATTCTGATAAGGTATTGTCTGCCTCCAAAAAAACAAAACCAAACCAGAAAGATGTAGAAGGAGGAATAAGATACATTACTTTGACAAGGAAAGTCTACACCTCCACATTAGCATTTTTTAATTAGATGGTTTCACTTAAGCTTTTAGAACAAGCATCTTAATTAAATATTGAAAACTTTACTATTTGTTGCCTAGAGTTCAGATTTGAATTTGTGAGTTACAGAATATGATATTGTTGAAGTAACATGTAGGAGGCTTTTGCTTACCCAAAGTTCCTCTGTGACAAGTGTTATTGCTGTTTAAAATGTTTCAGAAGACTTTATCAATAGCCAGTGTACTTTCATTAGCAGCAATTTAACTAGGAGCAATTAGTTAAGAAATGAAAGGATCTGTTTTATATCTTACTATTTTCTTCTTTCTTTCTTAGGTGCAGACAAGCAATTAAAATACACTGAAAGTGCCAAGTATTGAAAAATGTGACACTGTTTTCTTCTTATCTTTCCCATGTATTCTCAATTTTCTGAGCTCTGCAACTACCAACAACTGGTCCTAGTACTGTGTAGGGCTAAGCTACAGCAGTACTGTATGATTTCACATTTGCAGTTTATTTACATAATGATTTCATATCTGTCTAATCAAATTGAAGGTGTGATAATGAATAAATCTCTTCAAATGGAGAAAAAAAAATCCACATTTATTAGTGCTTGAAAAAACATCCTGCTGTATAAGATCATGGAATTCTTTGGGAGAATAGTAAGATAACTTACACTACACTTACCGCAGTATGCTGGGGACGCCAAGATACAATAGTTTCTTTTTCTAAGAAACATTATTACTGCAATCCTAAAATCTTGCAGTAACTAAAGGAGGTATCAGCCTTTAGCTGATTTAAAGGCATATGGGGATGAGGTTTAAGTTATATGGTTTAGGAGTGGGTAATAGTTTGTAGAAATTAATTGCACTGCTCCCCATTTTCAGGGTAATTCTAATACATGGCAAATGTGTTTGTGAACTTGGCATGAGATGTGTAGTTTTATCTGTGATGTTGAAATGTCACTGTCTTCTGCCAGCTGCTATTTCTTGGTAGCTCAGGTTTTGGCCTTCAGAATGATTAACTTTGAAAATATGGGCATGAGTAACTTGAGCTGCATCGGAGAGTGGAAACTCAGATTCTCTGTCTCCTGTTTTAACCACTAAAAGCAATAGATCTCTTTCATGCTGTAAATGCATACTAACCTAGATAGAGCATTACAGTGTTACTTAGCTGCTCATTTCCATTGTTGTACTGATCTAAAAGAGTAGTAATGCGGTCTACTTTTTTCATTGCAAATAAGTGTAAAAGAGCTTAGAGGAGAATTTTAATTTGACTTGGTACTTTGTAAGTCAGTAGAAAATATTGGGTTATGGATGTTAAGATTAACCAAGTTCTATCACACATTATCAACATGGTTACCATAGCCTGTAGTTGTTACTTACCAAAATGTGTCCCAGATACCTAAGCAGTGAAAAAGCAAAGCATAATGGGAACTTTTCTGCACCAAAACATGAATACCTGTGGATTCTTTATTACAGGATATTACGGCACATGACACAAAGAACCCAGGCTTTTGGTCTTGCTTTCTATTTTACAATGTATTTCTAGTGCTTTTCATGTTCTCTTAATTGGTTTCCTCTCATTTTCATGCTGTTTCCCCTCTTTCTCCTGCTTACTGCCTTTCATAACACTTTGTGAATGACTGATAGGTTTTACACCCTTACTCTTCCTTCTCCTGCCTAGTTGTGCTGAACTACTAATAGTTGTTAAAATATGTCCTCCCTTAGCCTTAAAATTCCTCTATATTGATTGGTTACTATATTTTCATTTGCTATCCAAAATCATGATGCTATATCAGCAACTGCCAGAGGTTTTAATGAATTGTTTAACCCTTAAATTTTGCTTTCTGTATTATCTTTCTGTAACCTGACAATAAAGTGTACAACATCCTGTACTTTTCTGTTTTTTTGTTGTTTTATTTCTTCCTATGTTCCTATGTTTTTTCTTCCTATGCCTTTCTCTGTTGATCTGTGTATGGACACAGAGCTTGAATGCTGCAGTGCATGTTTATTCAGTTCATTGGTGCTAACATGAGGTGCAAGCTCATTAGCTGTTGGTCGATGTAGTGGCATTGTGTCCCAGAGGCTTCAACCAGTGAGGAATAGAAGATTAGCATGGTGACTCTATGGCTCTTCCTAATGATCAGAATTTGGCAGTGTGCATGAGGGAATTCTTGTGGATGTGTAGCAAGAGGTTATCTAATTAAACACTGCCCATTATCAATGTGTAATCCCTCTGCTCTGGCTGATACACCTCTTTCAGTATATTTACATACTGACCACTTGTGCTTTAAAATATGTGAAATACGCTCTTTAATGTTTCCTGGTGTGAAAGAAAAACATTGGAATAAGTATGTGTTGCTCTGGAAATTTATTGCAAGATTGTTTAGTGCTTGAGATAAGCACTAGAATGGGTGTATACACAGTACAAGCAGCATTTCGATTGTATCCTTATTTTGGTTGCTTATGGCCACAGAGTTGGAGGGAGAGGCTTCTGCCATGTAATATTTTGGCAGAGTATTGGAGCACTTGCTGATGTTTGGTACTACATGTAAATGGCAACCTGGCAGATGAAATAGAGTATTGAGCATTATCTGGTGGCTTAAGTCAACGTAAGCAAAAGTACAGTTCTGGTTGTTTAAACAGCAGCCTAGATGTGCTGATTATCTTTTTAATATTATAAACTCAGTGTCTTGACCTTATGGCAGAATTCTTTAAGGTATTTAAAACTGGGACTTTTGAATAACTTCATTGCTTGAAATT